AGATGGTGATCTACAAAACATTTATGGGGTACTTTTAGATTTAACGCACAGCATCCGACCTGCAATGGACCAAAAATTTTGGAATTTCAAGATAAAGTCTCGAGAATAGCAAAAAAGTTATCCCCAGACAGTGCTTTACAAAAAATGTATAAAGCACTTTTTGATAGGACGCACAGCATCCGAGCTATACGATGGACCAAATGGACCAAAAATTTCGATATTTTCAAATTTTCGAGATAAACTCTCGGGAATAGTAGGAGAACAATCCCCAGATAGTGTTCTACAATAAATATATGATACACTTTTTGATACGACCAACAGCATCCGAGTGACGATGGACCAAAAATTTCGAAATTAAAAATTTTTGAGAATAGTAGCAGAGCAATCCTCAGATTGTGATCTACAAAACATTTACGTTAGATTAAACGCACAGCATCCGACCTACAATGGACCAAATGAACAAAATATTGCGATATTTTCAAATTCTCGAGATAGACTCTCAGGAATAATATAGGAGATTTATCCCCAGATAATTTTCTGGAAAAAATATATAGGATATTTTTTGATTAGACATACAGCATCCGAGATGGACCAAAAATTTTGAAATTAAGTCTTGAGAATAGTTTGGGAGTTATTCCCAGTTATAAAAAATGTATAATGCACTTTTTGATAGGACGCACAGCATCCGACCTACGATGGACCAAATGGACCAAAAACTTCGAAATTTTCGAGATAAAGTTTTGAGAATAGCCAGGGAGTTGTTCTTAGTTACAAAAAATGTACATGGCACTTTTTGATGCACAGCATCCGAGCTACTATGGACCAAAAATTACGAAATTAAAAATTTTCAAGATAAAATCTCGGGAACAGTAAAGTTACCAATAGATAGTGCTTTACAAAAATTGTATAGATCACACTTTGATAGGGCGAACAGCATCCGATCAACAATGGACCTAAGAGGGAAAAAAAATCTCGAAATTTAACATTTTTGAGATAAACTCTCAGGAATAGAAAGTATATTCCGAGATATATACTCTATAAACAAATTTAGAAATAAGATTCTAAAATTATTTAAAAATAATCTCCTTATTTAATCTTAAAATAGAAAACCAATTGTAATATAGTTATAAAACAGTGTTGAACGTTATAATATATTATTACGTTATTTAATTTTTATTTTAAAAAACGTATAATATTTTAACATTATATATTATACATTATTAAGCTTGTTAATTTGTGAATTTCCTCTATTCGCCAAGTCAATTTAATTATATCTTGAGATATTCAACCGTAAGACAGTCTTCATTGATTGTCAGTTATCATTAAATTGCAGATAATCAAATTATATATATAATACACGCGCATCTCAGGTGTTTGATTATCATATATAAATGTCTCTTTACGCTTATGATCAACTGCATAGCTAATTTATAACGCTTCTCGTTATCTCATCGTCACGAGAAATTTACTAATTATATGAAAATATTGATATAGCGCTTTAGTCCTCCTTTTACGGAAAAAAAAGTAAATTTATTATCACCATGAATAGATAATATTTGTTTTTAAAGAACGTAAATTTTGTTTTTTTTTTTGCATTATGAATTAATTAACAAACAAGAGATGAAAAAATATAATAAGAAATATATTAAATATAAAATTTATTATTCACTTCTTTTTTGAAGTTATAAATAATAATTAATAAATCATAAGGTGTATGTACGTAAAATTTATGATTAACATTAGATATATTTGACTTTATATGTATATTCGTTTGCTTGTGTATCATCATTATTAAATTGATATTATACCTTTGATGGATGTAAATATAATTTACATAATGGATATTTTCTTTCTCTTATGTGCGTAATGCGCATGTATAATTTGTGGCATAAAATATCTCCATTATTAGTTCTGTGACCTAGTGGGACAAACAATTCCTGGTCGTTGACACTAAATCTATTTTTGTACATATTGTTTTTATAAAAAGATTTTTGAAATCACTTTAAATAAAGATAATTTAAAATAATACTCACTTGACATAAATATATAACTTTAACATAATATTCACCTGAATTTTAAATTGGGATAAATATCACTTGACACAAAATTCACTTCAAATTTCACTTAGCATAAATATCACTTAATTTAAAAAATACTTGGCATAAATATTTCTTAATTAAAAAAATACTTGGCATAAATATCAATTGATATAAAATTCGTGTTAATTATCACTTGGCATAAACATCACTTAATATAAAACTCACTTGGTATAAATATATTATTTAGTAAAAGACTCACTTGGCATAAATATCACTTATCATAAGACTTATTTGGCATAAATATCACTTGACACAATATTCGCTTTAATTTTCACTTAGTATAAATATCACTTATGATATAACACTTGGCATCAATATCACTTGATACAGAGGCATAAATAACACTTGACATAAAATTTACGTTAATTATCACTTGGCATAATCAACACTTGATACAAAATTCGCCTCAATTTCACTTAGCACATGAATATCACTTGATGGAAGACTTGGCATAAATATCACTTGACATAAATTCATGTTAATTTTCGTTTGGTGTAAATATCATTTAATATAAAACTGACTTGGTATAAATGTACCATTAAGTAAAAAGACTCACTTGGCATTGATATCACTTATCATAAAACTTATCATAAATATCACTTGATATAAAATACACATTAATTTTCAAGGTAAATTTTATGTCAAGTGATATTAATGCTAAGTCTTACGATAAGTGATATTTATGACAATTGAGTCTTTTACTAAATGATATATTTATACCAAAGTGAGTTTTATATTAAATGATGCTTATGTCAAGTGATAATACACATGAATTCTATGTCAAGTGATATTTATGCCAAGTCTTCTATCAAGTGATATTCATGTGCTAAGTGAAAATTAAGGGGAATTTTGTGTCAAGTGTTGATTATGTCGCAAGTGATAATTAACTTAAATTTTCTGTCAAGTGATATTTATGCCAAGTGAAAATCGAGGTTTTTCTTATATCAATTGATTGTTATGCCAAGTAAGTCTTATGATAAGTAATATTTATGCGAAGTAAGTCTTTTACTAAATGATATATTTATACCAAGTGAGTTTTATATTAAGTAATGTTTATGCTAAGTGATAATTAACAGAAATTTTATATCAAGTGATATTTTTGTGCCAAGTAGGGCTTATATCAAGTGATATTTATGCAAAGTAGGTCTTTTATCAAGTGATATTTATGTCAACTAGGACTTATATCAAGTGATATTTATACCAAGTTGGTCTTATAGCAAGTGATAATTATGTCAACTAGGACTTATATCAACTGATATTTATGCTAAGTAGGTCTTACATCAAGTGATATTTATGCCAAGTTGGTCTTATATCAAGTGATATTTATGTTAAGTAGGTCTTTTATCAAGTGATATTTATGTTAAGTAGGTCTTTTATCAAGTGATATTCATGTCAACTAGGTCTTATATCAAGTGATATTTATGCCGAGTAGGTCTTTTATCAAGTGATATTTTTGTGCCAAGTAGGTCTTATATCAAGTGATATTTATGTCAACTAGGGCTTATATCAAGTGATATTAATGCAAAGTAGGTTTTTTATCAAGTGATATTTATGTCAACTAGGACTTATATCAAGTGATATTTATGCTAAGTAGGTCTTATATCAAGTGATATTTATGCCAAGTTGGTCTTATATCAAGTGATATTTATGTTAAGTAGGTCTTTTATCAAATGATATTCATGTCAACTAGGGCTTATATCAAGTGATATTTATGCCGAGTAAGTCTTTTATCAAGTGATATTCATGTCAACTAGGGCTTATATCAAGTGATATTTATGCCGAGTAAGTCTTTTATCAAGTGATATTTATGTCAACTAGGGCTTATATCAAGTGATATTTATGCCGAGTAAGTCTTTTATCAAGTGATATTCATGTCAACTAGGGCTTATATCAAGTGATATTTATGCCGAGTAAGTCTTTTATCAAGTGATATTTATGTCAACTAGGGCTTATATCAAGTGATATTTTTGTGCCAAGTAGGTCTTTTATCAAGTGATATTTATGTCAACTAGGGCTTATATCAAGTGATATTTATGCTAAGTAGATCTTATATCAAGTGATATTTATGCCAAGTAAAAATTAAGATGAATTTTATGCCAAGTGATATTTCTAGTTTAATTTAAAAAAAAAATAATTTTTTTTATTAATTTTAATTTACAAATCCCAAACACAAAAAGGAATCACATCAATTAATTTTCAAACACCTTAAAACAAAGCCTTTGACAATGTTGCATGTAATGAAAACCCTATATTTCTCTTTACAAGTGAATTCAAAGTCGTTGAATCGTAGAATCACTGATGAACTATACATATAGACACAAATCTCCTGTACATATACACAAATACCTTGCAAATAGTACCTATCTGTATATATATATATAAACTACCTGTCATTCACATACAGAGAAACTGTGTACAAATGTATCTTTAGGTATACAACCTTCCCTCCTCCCCCCCCTTTTAGGTATACTCTCCCCCTGCCCTCAAAAGATTGCAGTATATGTAAACCGCACATTGAAATAATTGCAAGCATTCGATTGGTTACACAACTTTTTGTTTGTACGTTACCAAATACACGTGATTTGTTCCCTTAAAGTGTCATTCATCAACGATTGGTGGATCTAAATTTAAGTTGACCAATCAGAATGCTTCGTTTGACAAGAGAGAAGGTAAAAATTTTTCTTTTTTTGAAAAATTGGAAAAAAATATAATTTTTTTCAAAGAAATGGACAAAAAATGAAAATCGTTTTTTTTTGTATCGTTTAATTTCTTTTTACCAAGGGGGTTGATTTTTTTTGAGGGGAGAGAGAGAGGGAATTTCCTCTCTCTCTCTCAATCTCTTTCTCTGTCAGACGCCGGTAGGGGGCGCTTCTCACACAGGCAACGCTGCTGCGCTAAGCGTCATTGAACGTCAGTGTCAATATGGCCGTAGGAGAGTGTGGTTATGCTTACGTTAGTTTACGGTAGTGAACTTGCAAGTGAATATGAAGTGGCATTCTTCAGTGTAAAAAAAAATCTGTGTAAATCTGTTTATGTGATTGAATTTATCATCTCAAAATAAATATAAAAGAGAAGAAAAATTAAGAATCAAGTATGAATTCAATTGAATTGAGATCTGCGGTCCAGTCGGATGCGTGCGCGACAGGTATGTACATATATATACATATAAATAGAAAAAAAAAATTCTTTGATTTTTTTTCTTCTTTCATTGTTGACACAAATTTTTCTTTTTTTTTTTTTTTGTTCGTGAATCTTTCTCTTTTTATCTCATGTTGTTTCAGACAGAGAGATAGAAAGAGAGAGAGAGAGTTAGAGAGGAAAAATGATGTATATATGTGAACGTGTGTCGGTCTTATTGATTTCTTGGCCTTTTTTAAGAGTCCGTCGCGCTTTATGGACGACATTCGAATTCATTACAAATACATGCTCGTAAAGGGAGAGAGAGAGAGAATACACACAGCCTCCCGAGGCCAAACTGTTTCCTTTGAGTCGTGTCACTTTCGGCGTCGATCGATAGTCTCAGACTCCCTGAACTTTAGCTATTATAGCCTGTGCCTATGCCTCTCTTTTTTCTTTTTTTCCTATATAAACTCAAGTTTTGAGCCTCTTCAATGCACGCAACTCTGTATATGGCATCCGTTTCCTGCATTGCGAGGAGAGAGAAGAAAAAAACAATCTTGTCAGATTCCTACTTTTAAAGCATTTTTTCAAAAACCATTTCAAAGAAACGTAGGGGAAAAAATCGTTTTAAATAAACACTCTGATTGTATTTATTTTTTCTTTATAAACCAAAAGTGATTTTATGGAATTTAATTGCATGTTACTTTTTGAGGGGTTAAGATTACAGATATATATATATATATATATATATATGTATAGGATAAAAAAGACATGTGGTTTTTTTTTTGCTGTATATATAATAGTGGCGTGTGCTTCGCGTGGGTCTGTTTACAAATTAAAATGATGCTCTCGTAACTTTGGGTCTCATGGGTTTTGTGTGAATATAATTAACAACAGAAGAAGATGGATGAAAAATAAAAATTGTGATTTTCATTAGAAAAAGTTTTTAATACCCGACGGTGATGGTAATTAATATGCGAAGCGTCAGTAAGTTTTTAATGTAAAAGGGAAAAGGATTTTTTTTTATTTTTTTTTTAATGAAAGTTGTCAGTGAAATCTTGTTTTTTTTTCGATCCAATACGTAACTTTTGTAAAAAGTGATTATTTGTGCAGGTGTTGATTTGAAATTTATCACGTTACCTGAAAATTTACAATACTACCTGAAAAACTCGCAATTTTACCTAAAATAATTGTGAAAAATTTGGTTTTGGGAATATTTTCTTGATTCAATTATTTTTTTGTGACTGGAAATTTATTATTATTATTATTATTATTATTAAAAATTATAACCACTCGGAGAAAAATGGATAGTAACTTTTACTACTTTAAAAGTAAAACCGGACCTGTTCGGAGTTTCTGGTAATTTTTCCTCCTGAAATAGTAAAATTCACTCCGGAAATTGTCAAATTGCACCGAAAATAGTAAAATTTACTCCGAAAATTGTCAAATTTACTCAATTTACCCCGGAAATTGTCAAATTACTCCGAAAGTAGTAAAATTTACTACGAAAACAGTAAAATTTACTCAATTTACTCCGGAAATTGTCAAATTACTTCGAAAGTAGTAAAATTTACTCCTGAAATAGTAAAATTTACTCCGAAAATAGTATAATTTACTCAATTTACTCCTGAAATAGTAAAATTTACTCCGGAAGTTGTCAAATTACTCCGAAAGTAGTAAAATTTAGACCTAAAATAGTAAAATTTACTCCGGAAATTGTCAAGTTACTCCGAAAGTAGTACAATTTACTCCCAAAATAGTAAAATTTACTCCGTAAATTGCCAAATTACTTCGAAAGTAGTAAAATTTACTCCTGAAATAGTAAAATTTACTCCGAAAATAGTATAATTTACTCAATTTACTCCTGAAATAGTAAAATTTACTCCGGAAGTTGTCAAATTACTCCGAAAGTAGTAAAATTTACTCCTAAAATAGTAAAATTTACTCCGGAAATCGTCAAATTACTTCGAAAGTAGTAAAATTTACTCCGAAAATAGTAATATTTACTCCTGAAATAGTAAAATTTACTCCGGAAATTGTCAAATTACTCCGAGAGTAGTAAAATTTACTCCGGAAATTGTCAAATTACTACGAAAGTAGTAAAATTTACTCCCTAAATAGTAAGAATTATTCCGGAAATAGTTAATTTTACCATTTCTTGGAGTGAAAAAATTGTCTATGTAAATCAGAAATTATTTTTTATTACATCAGAAATAGTGCGGAATTCTAATAAGAGAATCAAATATTCTAAGATTCTTTTATTCTAATTCTGATTTTTTATAATAAAAATCATTTTTTCTCTTTACTGAATTTCGTAGTAGAATTTTTTTATTTAATGAAAAAAAATATTTACCTGGAACAGCAAAACATTTCACTAAAGTTAGTAAAAATTTTACTTGTTTCAGTTAAATCTTTCGCTATTCTAGTGAAATATTTCGCTGTTTCCGATAAATATTTTTTTTTTCGTTGTATAAATATAAATTCTACTCCGAAATACTAAAGAGAAAAACTGATTTTAATTTCAAAAAATCAGAATTAGAATAAAAAAAAGCAATACCAATTTCTTCTCATTGAAAATCTCAAAGGAAATAAGTGAAATTTTCCTTTAAAAATTAAAAAGTTTTTGGAAAAAATTATAATTAAGTGAATTTTCTTGTTAACCAAAATTCTAATTCTTGACAAACAAAAATTTTTGTTTTAAAAAATACCTTTCTAAATTTTGATTAATATTTTTAAAATCACAAAAAAATCTTTATCTAGAACAGTGATATATTTCACTAAAACAGCAAAAGTTTTCGCTATTCTAGAAAAATATATCTCTATTCCAAAGAAACTTGTTCCAGAAAATTTTTTTGCATGTAATATAAAAATTTGTTTCTAGTTCTTTTTTTTTAATTCCGGTTAATATTCCGAAAAGTCAGATCTTGGGGAATTTTTTGTTCATAATAAAATTAATCATTAATTATTGTAATATTTTTTATCACCCATTTTATTATATATAATTGTCAAATTACTTTTTAATTTTTTCCTTTTTAAATAACTCTTCAATAAGCGTTTCGTTCAAATAAGAAAAAATTCCACTTATTCATATATCGGATATTATAATTGAAAAAAAATTTTCTCTTTGAACACATATTTTTTAATTACTCGATAAAAGATATAAAATTGAGAATTGGAAATGTCGACTTTTGATTTGCGATCAAATATGAATAAGAAATAGAGAGAGAATAAAAAAGTAATAATCAGTAAAGTTTTTCCACAATTTATTTTTTTTTTCATTTTTCTTTTCGGCTAAAATATAATTTCCTTTTGTATGTTTCTTTTTTTTTCTTTCATTTTTGTATTGACATTTCGAGAAATAAACGCGCGCGCGCTCTTATCAAAGATTTCGTATCAAAGTTATGCTGTATCAGACATGCCGTCTGTGCGCACTGCATATAACTGCATGGAATAAAGAAATAGAATTTAAATTTAAAATGCGCTTTTAGAATGTCTGCTGTGTAAATAAGAAATACAATTGTAAATTTGTTTTCGTTGCAAAAAAGGAAAAATAAAAAAAAGTGTAAAAAAAAAGATAATTGTTAATAATAATAATAATAATAATAATAATAATAATAATAATAATTATTATAAAATGGAAAAATAGAATAATTAACAATTTTCGTTATTTTAAAAAAAAATAATTGCTGTGACGGAATTATTTTTTTTTCAAAAATCGACAAATGGAAAAGGTATGATAAAATTTGACGAGTAACGAATATCTAATTAATGGGATTAATAAGAAAAAAAAAGTTTCAATGAAAATTGAATTAACTTTTTATATAATTGCTTATTTCGAAATGACGAGATTAACTTTTCGATAATTTTAATTGAAACTCGGTTTATTCGGTTTTAACATTTTTTTTCCGTTTTTTTTTAAAAAAACAAGATTTCACCACTTTTGCGAGATGTTTGATTTGTTAAATTTTTACCCTCTCACTCGAATGAATTATATTATCGTCGTTTTTCGCGATTTAATTGGAAAGTTATTCATTAAATTTCTTTTTAATTATGTAAATAACTTTTTAATCAACTTTATATCTTTAATTATCAAGAAATATAGAATTATAATAATAAGAAAAAGAGTTTTTTCTCTTTTTTTTAAAAAAAAACGTATTTTTGAAAACATTTTTTTTCCCTTCGGTCACATTTTATAAATTTAAAGTGAATTGATTTCCATATCAAACAAACATTAAGTCAAAAAAAAAAGCGAATACGAAATATATTTTATATTGTACATCGTCGAAAGAGTTTTTTTTTTTTTTTATTAATTTTTTTTTGTTTTATTTTAAGGAAAAGTTTTTTTTTTGTCTTTTGTTTTAATTAACAAACGAATTTGAATATTAGTCGAGTCATGCAAATGAAGAGTAGAATTTTTTTTTTTTTATTTTTTTTTTTTTTTAGAAAAAGGGAATATTGATTAAAAAATATATTCTTTTGAAATGCAGCACGTCAGTCAAAATTATCAGTCTATACCTTTTCCATGATTGTCTGAGGGTTGGTTTTCATGCAAAGAATATAATGAAAGATAACATTTTACCTTCGTGAAACCTTTCATCAACATTTGGTGCAAAAAACAAAAAAAAAAAAAAAAAAATTGAAAAACCATTTTTTATCAGTTTTTTCATTGCGATCAAATCTGTGACATAATCTTTTTGCCATTCAATGAATTTTTTTTGACATTTTAATTTTGAATAAAATAAATTTTTTTTATATACACCCAGAGAAACGTTTTATTTGAACTAAGTATAATATATATTTGAGTTAAATAAACGTATATTTGTCTCACAGCCTACTAGTTAATTTATTTGGCGGAAATAAATTTTTTTATTTCAATTAAGTAAAAATTTATTTCAATCAAGTAAAAATTTATTTCAATCAAGTAAAAATTTATTTGAATTAAATAAAAATTTATTTGAATCAAATAAATATTTATTAGAATGTGAAACAACACAGAGAAATTAAAAGGCATTAAAATAAGCTGCA